TTCCTCCTGAACCTCCAGCCCACTAGCCAGTCCTTTGGAAGGATGGGACAGGTCTCCTTCTCACTGAGTCTTTGCTTCTCCAGGAGGAGCCGCGTCTTCTCCATTGCTGTCTGACACCCAGCACCAAAGGCACGTGTTCTTCAGGGCCTTGACCTTCCTGTCACTTTGCTCTTCCCTTCACGTCCTAGACGCTGTGCCTCTGCTAGTGCATCCTGAAGTCGCAGTGCCCCACTCTTCCCTGTTGTGTCACGACGCGCTTATGTCAGCTAAATCCCTGCGCATTTTCCATATTGGTCTCTTTCCCCTACTCCATCATTGCACAGCTGGTTTAAAGACTAAAATGTGGACATTTAAGTTTGTATCTACATTTCATCTTTTTTTTTGGAGAGGTTTTTGCTATAGGGCATGTGCGCTCGCCAGAAAGAGAGAGAAAGAGACACAGAAAGTGAGAAATCACACACCCCCCCCCCGGGAGGATGGCCACACCTCAATACCTTCTCCATTTTCCTCTCAGGATCTTGGGCATGCACAGACATGTGCCTGGCATAGTTTAAGTTGCTGGGTCTGGGACTTGAACCACAGTTACCTATGTGGGAGTCCAGCAATGGAACCATTATGCCATCTGCTGGTCCCAAGATTAGCACAGCTTTCTGGAGGGGCAGAAAGGGTATTTTATTTTATTTATTTACTTATTTATTCTCCTTCTGCTGCCTGGGGCCTGTCTCTTCATGCCTGGCCTGGAGAACTTTTCCCTTGTATGAAATGGTCTTTCCTCCTGAACCTCCAGCCCACTAGCCAGTCCTTTGGAAGGATGGGACAGGTCTCCTTCTCACTGAGTCTTTGCTTCTCCAGGAGGAGCCGCGTCTTCTCCATTGCTGTCTGACACCCAGCACCAAAGGCACGTGTTCTTCAGGGCCTTGACCTTCCTGTCACTTTGCTCTTCCCTTCACGTCCTAGACGCTGTGCCTCTGCTAGTGCATCCTGAAGTCGCAGTGCCCCACTCTTCCCTGTTGTGTCACGACGCGCTTATGTCAGCTAAATCCCTGCGCATTTTCCATATTGGTCTCTTTCCCCTACTCCATCATTGCACAGCTGGTTTAAAGACTAAAATGTGGACATTTAAGTTTGTATCTACATTTCATCTTTTTTTTTGGAGAGGTTTTTGCTATAGGGCATGTGCGCTCGCTAGAAAGAGAGAGAAAGAGACACAGAAAGTGAGAAATCACACACACCCCCCCGGGAGGATGGCCACACCTCAATCCCTTCTCCATTCTCTTCTCGGGATCTTGGGCATACACGCACACGTGCCTGGCGTGAGTTTAAGCCACTGGGTCCGGGACTTGAACCGTGGTCAGCTACATGGGAGTTCAGCAACATAGCCGTTACACTAACTGCTGGTCCCTCTACTTTTCATCTTATTACATGCGTGTACTGTTCTAGTTTTTTGAGGTCCACTGTCTGCTTATCCTTATACATGTGCTGTCCCCTCTCAACATTTTAACCCGTCAAAATGACTGCGCTCATCCAAGGCAATTTACTCACTCTTTTTTCTTAGAGAATAGTTGTGGGAGAAATTATAGCATTGTTTATTCAAGACATTCTTAGGAAGCATTAGCCTCTTCTTCAGGAGGACCCAATCATACTCCCCTGAAGGGAAGCACTCCTGTTTTGATTTTTTCCCTTCTTACTTCCTCTGGGAAATCTGGGCATTTGGCCATGACCATCATGCACTTGTGGGACCACTGTGCCGGCATCTTTGGGTGGGAGAAAGGTGCTGACAAAAACAGCTCCTTGTAATTTGGGTTCAGAATTTGCATTAATTTCCTAGAACTGTGGTAGTAAATGACCATAAACTTGGTGGTTTAAAATAACACAGACTTATTCTCTCCTGGTTCTGGAAGCCAGAAGTCTGAAATCAAGATGCCTATAGGGTTGGTTCCCTCTGGTGGCTTTGAGGGAGAATCTGTTCATGCCTGCCTCTCTCCTAGTTCTGGTAGCTTCCTGCAGTCCTTGGCGTTGCGTGGCTCACAGATGCATCATTTCTGTCCCTGCCTTCCAGTGCTGTTCTCCTGTGTGTTTGTGTCCCCTCCTCTTTTTCTAACAATTCTAGTCATTGGATCTAGAACCCACCCTAAATCCAAGATAATCTCCAAGATTTTTGACCTTATAGCATCTGTTAATGCCTTATTTCCAAATAAGATCACACTTACTGGGATCAGGACTTGGATATATCTTTGGGGGTCCACCATTCAACCAACTACAGAGTCTAATAGGAGGTGGCTGCTATTAGGGTGAATCGAGCCCTGTTCACATGTTTGCTGACAAAGCGGGTGTGAAGGACATCACAGCATGGGTTCTAGCCATGAGGTACCAGGAGATCTTGAAGCCTGCCACCGATTCTGTGAGCCAATCCAAGGTATCTGGAGGTGACTGAAAGGTCAGGGAAGTCTTTTCTCACCCTGCTGAGGAAGTGGTCCATCCTGGTTCTAAAAGGCTGTGAATGTGACTCAGAGAAAGTGAGGCTGTGGGTTAATTTTATGCATCCCAAACAGATGAACATTGGTCGACTCGCCTAGATGGGGGTGCTCTTGCCTGATTGGAACATTGGACAAGTCCTAGTTCTTTTCTTAGGGATTACTTCTTGAGCTCTAAAGATTGTAGGGAATCAGCAGATTCTTTGATTTTTTTTGTGACGGTACTTTGTATTTAAAATTGAGGTAGGCGTAGGTACTCTTGTTTTATTCATGGATCAGATGTCTACAAAGAAGTGTTATTACCATGAAGAAAAATCTTAATATGGAAACCTTGAGCCAATAATTAAGTTGTTATGAGGCAATTTTTGTGGTAGAATTCCAATTTCCTCAAATAATTTGGATAATTCTGTGGGTATTATAGTTAAAATTTCTGGATTTGGACTCCTAATTAAATATAGGTTTTCATGACAATTTCAGATGTATCTGTCACTTTTCGTTCACATAGTTTTGGGGACTGATCCATAATATTGATATATTTGATAAAAAAAAAATAAGGAGTGTCCAAAAAGTTAGTGGAAAATATGTTTTATAAAAAGACTATGGAAGGATTTCAAAAATTTTTTGCATCAAAATAAGCTCATACTGGGGCTATATGGTGGTGCAGTGGTAGAATATAAGACTGTAGGAGGTGGTCCCACATGAGTAGGTTCTGAATTGGCATCTGGAGGCCTCCCTGAGGTCAAACACACGTGTGCCCATGATCAAGGGCTGACTGTGGCTCGGAGTGGGTTTGCTCTTTGTGTATCTGTCTGGGAGAAATAAAGAAACATAAAAATGCAATAAAAAATAAACTCATACATTAATTTAAAATTTCTGTGAACTTTTTGAAGAAGGGCACTCCATCAGACAAATAGCTACAAAGTATCTCTTGGTGCATAGAACCAAACCTCACTTTGGGGTCCATGCATGTCTGACTTGGGCATTTATTAATCATCCTTTTAAGTCATACTAACTATGACTGAACTTGCAGTGACAGGTGACATATTTCAGGCTTGATATGTGTTTCAATTTTTTTTTTTTTCTGGAGAGGTTTTCTGTTTTTTTTTTGTTTGTTTGTTTGTTTTTTTTGCTATAGGGTGCATGCACTCGCCAGAAAGACAGACAGAGACAGAGAGACAGAAAGTGAGAAACCACTTCCTGGGGGGATGGCCATGCCGCAATCCCTTCTCCTCCATTCTCCTCTCAGGATCTTGGGCATGCATGCACACGCGTCCAGAGTGAGTTTAAGCCGCCAAGTCCAGGACTCAAACCACGGTCAACTACATGGTAGTCCAGCGACATAGCCATTATGCTAACTGCTGGTCCCAATATGTGTTTCAATTTTGAGGAAAATAGAATACCTGATGGACTAATGGGTGTCATCATGGGAAATATACTCAAATGAGTCTGGATATGGGGAGAACCTACTCACTGGTTAACTAGCATCTTTAATGACTAGTCTTGAGGTAAGTTCTTTTGGAGAGTTTGGCTGGTCAGACCGAGAAACACAAAATATTCCCACACCAGTGTGTGTTTGGATTCTAGGTCATTCATGGACAGGTCTCAAAACATTTCAAGACTTCTAAGAAGTGTCTCCTATGGATATTGGCTATGGATGAATTCTAAAGGGTTGTGTCAAAGGCACTGTGCCAAGTGAGGGACACGAGGTGAATAAGATCTGACCCTATCCCCAAGAAGTGATGCTTGTGGTTGGATGAGTGTAGTAAGAGGTGAGGAGCAGTGAAGAAGGAGCATATGCAGTAGACCTATGCAGCTAAGGGACCACAGTTTCTGCAGAAGTATGTGTAGCTGAGTCCTAGGACCAAAGCACTGGGTGCCATTGGCAGTGCAGATGTAAACTCCAGACACATGGGTATGTAATAAGACTCTCAATTGCCCTCACTGTAAAGGAGGAAGCCAGACTGGAGAGGAGAGAGGTTGACTCTATAGAGCCACAGGGACCATGTTTCATGTCAGCCCAGTTTTGCCCTTGGCCAAGAGGTACAGGTGATGCAGCTGGGAGGTATGTGTGTGGAAAGGTGTTTGACAGAGTTGTGGGAGTAATGAGGAGATGCTCTCGTATTTGTTTCCTCCATTAAAGGAGAAAGGAACAGGAAAGTGCATAAAATTTTCGTGGTCTGTCTTTACTATAGTACGAGTTTTGTAATCTGGTGGTGTTTTGAACAGTTGTGAAAATGAGCCACAGCCTGAGGTGCCTATAGAAATAACAACAGCAAAAAAACCACTTGTTGTTTGTTTGGGGCCTGCGTAGACATGTCTGAGGCTGGGAGGGCGTGGGTGGTTGTGTGAGGGGTGGGAGCATGAACGAAGGAGGAAGGTGGCTCATCTGCAAGGGAAGGAAGAGAAACAGTAGTGTGTTAATGAGCACAACGAGGTAATGTAATAGCACACTGGTTCTCATTGTCACCCAAATGGTGTAATTTCACATTCATGGGTGGTAAAAATATCCGTTTATTTTATTCACAGGTTGTACTCAGACTATCTCTACTTTGCAAGTTCGAATAAATCTGCAGATGACTTCCATGAAAAAGTGACAGAAGCTCTGCAGCTGTTTGAAAATTGCATGCTCGATTATTCATTGCGCGCCTGCGTCTACAACAACACCCTCAACAATGCCATGCCTGTGAGTATTCACCAAGCCTGGGCCCCTTTGATAGAAAGTGCTGTTTTGTTTTTATTATGCAAGTGGCATTGTGGATCGAGATTTTAGTGCAGAGACAGACACAGAGAAGCGGTTTTTAGTGTGCAAATGTAATTCCCTTTGCCTTTGAGTGGTGGCTAATGCAAAAACAAATATTCATGGCTATAAAAGCTGTGAAAACTGATGAGCCCTTTCTGCTGGCTCCCTGCTTTCTTCCCTGCCTGTCACCCTGTCACCATGCTGTCGCCTTCCTTGGCAAGAGAATGAGGGTGCACTTAGAAAGATTACCATCTAGTGAAGCTCCAGAAACACACCCAGCAATTAGAATCGGCAGACATGAGGACACCTAACTCTCAAATTATCTTAAGAGCATTCAGTCTAATAGCAGATTATTTTGTTAGTTTAAGAAATTACTTATCAGTGACTTTTAATGCTTCTTCAACAGGGTCTAAACTGAAAAATAGTTTTTGTTGATCCCTCTATCTTGCTTCTTGTTTTTACTTAGGAATATATCTATATATTTTTGGCCTCTTTTAATAGGGAAAAAAAAAACACAAAAACCAAACAAACAAACAAAAACCTGCCTGGAATATGGCTTCACAAGTGTCTCTGCTCAGCACATTGACATGGTAAAGTGTGGTGTGGACAGACCTGCTGCAGAGGCTCAGAACCACCAGGGGTGGTGAGACTCAAAATCAAGAGGCTCCACTCCCTCTTTCCTGTTGCAGAGGCCATCTTATCTAAGGCAAGGCATAGAGGCAATAGGTAGGATTCCAGGCTGTCCTGCTGGATTTTGTAGTTTGGCAAGGAACATGCAGGGGAAACGCAGACCACCACAGAACCTCACCATGGTGCTTGGTAGGAGGAGTGGGCTGCAGAGCTAGACAGTAGTGGAAGTTCAGATCCTAGCTCTGGCAGTTAGTGGCTGTGTAACTCTGGGCAGTTGGCCTCTCTGAGGCTCAGTTGCTCTGTAATAATACTGCTTTATCAGGCTGTTGCAAGGACCAGAATTCTGCGGTTCATTCATGTTTTCCTGCATTTGTTCATTCTGCTATGTTCTTTGCATGGTGCTGGGTCCTGGAGCTGCATCAGTGACAGGCATACCTGGTCCTTTTTCCCTAGTACAGCCCAGTGAGGACAGAGAGGATAGAGGCTATGGCAGAGAACTCTGGTTCTCAGCAGAGGTCACCTGGGAATAAGGCACTTCTGAAGAGAGGGAATGTCTGTGCAGAGGCCTAAAGGATGAGAGGGCCAGGTAAATGGAAGCAGTGGTGTCCGAGTGGAGAGAGCAGCATGTGCAGAGAGGCTGAGAGGCCAGCATTGGAAGCATCCAGTGCACCAGAATAGGGCAAGCAGAGGGTGTGGGAGGGTGTCAGGACTGGAGGGATAGTGAAGGAGGTGGCTCGGGTATTTGGAGCCAAGGTATGCAGCATGAGGAACTAGGGGAACCTCAGAAGAAGTCTAGATTTTATGCTGACAGAGATGGGACCTCACAGGAGGGCATTAAACAAAGGTTGGTGTAGGGGTAGGGGGTTGAAAAAAAAAATCAGTTCTCACCTATCCTAGGTTAATGTCCCTTATAATAAAAGGCAGATTAATAACAGAAAAGCCTAACACATTTAATATAAGTTTTACATATTGCAGGACCCTTTTTTTGTTATTGAGGTTTTTACCTTATGCCCCGTGCACTCACCAGAAAGAGACAGAGAGAGTGAGAGGGAACGTGAGAAATTTGGCATGGCCAAAATCCCTTCTCCACTTTCTTCCCAGGATCTTGGGCACACATGCACACATGTCAGGCAAAACTTTGAAGACATTGGATCCAGGACTCAAACCATAGTTGGGCATGTGGGAGTCTAGTGATGTAACTGCTATGCCATCTGCTGACCCCACAGTAGCCTTTAAAAAGAAAATGAAGACCAGGAGCCAGCAGGTACATGGTGGTTAGGGGTGCTGGACTCCCATATGACTGACCGTGGTTTTAGTTCTGGACCTAGCGGCTTGCTTTCTCTCTCTCTCTCTCTTTCTCATTCTGTCCTTCTTTGGTCAAATTAAAATAAATAAACAAATAAATAAATAAGGTTAAATGAAATAGTTCTTTAAAAAAGAAAGAAAATGAAGACCTAAAGAAACAGGGAAACTTGTGTATTTTTATGCTTAGATTTGATGAAGAGGACAGTCACCCAGAAGCAAGACAGGACAGAGGGAATGTGATCTACTGGTAATAAGTGGGATCTTAGCAAAGCTCATTTGTTCAGATTCTTCTCTGTGTCCTTGTGTCTTCAGAGATAAGGACTTTTCTTTCTTCTGGGAATAAAGATGGTACCTCTTGAGTAAGGGTCTTATGACCAATGTCCGAGGAAGGTCAGCTAGGTTTTTATGGCCTGCTTCAGGGGAGAGCCGTGGATGGGAGAGGTGAGAGTGGCTTTCCTGCTTCTGCTCTTTTCTCAGGTACCAAAGTATTATTTTTTAAAGTTTATTTATCAATCTTTTTCCAGGAGTGAAAGTTAGAGAAAGAAAGGGAGCATTCCCACTAGGGTCTTGACACTAAGATCCACTCCCAGCCCCAGGCATCCCCAGGCCATGGGCACATGCATGTTTGGCATAGCCAGGGAGGTTTTCAGACATGAACCTGGAACCTTCCCATATGGATCAGTCTTACAGAGTATCAAATTTTACCATTGTGTCACCGTCTGACCCAAAGGCATTGGTCATATTTAAAGGTAGTGGGTCTTGAACCCCATTAGTAGTTATGGCAGTTCTGCATTTTAGAAAGATGCCTGGCGCGCCATGCAACTGACTGAGTTGATGGGGCCCAGGTAGGAACTTGTCTCCTAGAGACTGGAAGGTGGTGGATGAGGGATGCCATAGAGAGCTGGTGACTAAGTCAGGGTGGTGGCAGAGGCTAGAAGAGCAGTGGAGGTTTCTGGAAACAATTAAGAGGAAGACAGAAAAGGACTTTGGATAGGTTGAATCAGGAGTGCTGGGATGAAAGGGGGAAACCAAATTTCTGTGCTTGAATGCCAAGTGTGGTTGACCTTGAACAAGAGTTGACCCTGACCTTCAAACAGCATATGGCCACAATAAATACCATAAATATACTTTTTCCTCCTTACTATTTTCTCAATAACATTTTTTTACTGTAAGATTACAGTGTAGAATACATATGACATAAACGGTGTTTTTTTAAAAGAATTATTTTTATTTAACTTTATTTGTTTATTTATTTTAATTTGACCTGAGAGGAGGGGGGAGAGAGAGAGAGCGAGAGAGCAAGCTTCCAGGTCTGGGACTCAAACTGCAGTCAGCCAGGTGGGAGTCCAGCAACCTTAACCACCATGCCACCTGCCAGCCCTTAAAGTATGTGTTAATCAACTGTTTATATGCGTGATAAGACTTCCAGTCAACAATAGACTATTAGTAGTTAAGTTTTTGGGGAATCAAAAATCATACACAGATTTCAGCTGGGCAGAGGAGTTAGCAGCCCTAACCCTGCATTGTTTCAAGGGTTGCCTGAACAGTCTTTGCCTCATAATGGCCTTTGCTCTTGGCTGTCGCTTATTATAATGTTTTATGCCTATGACTGAGGGTCATCCAAGTGGGCCTGGAGGAAAGAAGAGCCACCTCAGGAGAAAAAAATGCAGGTATAGCGTACAATGGAGACTGACTTCATTCATAGTTGAGATGTGATTTGTTGCTGGCGGCAAATACTGGGCACCCACTTTGTGCACAGCATCCTGATCAGTGCTGGCAGAAAACACAACCCCACTTCCAACATTGTGTCTAGTACTTCTTTCCCCTCTTGACCCCTTACCAGGGCCAGGGCAGGACACCTTGCCTGTTTTTCATATTCAAACTGACTGACTCTCATCTGGGGCTCAGGGCCAAGGAGTCACAGCTGAGAGAACTTCTGGGTCATGAAGCAAGGCCAAGGTGCTGTGCTGGTCAAACCATCCAGAAGTGCAGTTTCCCCAGGACCCTTGTGTCTTTTGTGCTGGTTCCACATAACCACCTCAGAGAGTCACAGAAGGTGATATCAACATTGGTGGGGATTGATGGTCCCAAGGTCACTTCTTTGGCTGACACTGAGGCTCTTATTTAACTAACTAATGTTTATAAATGCCATGCAAAGAAAGTTAAGAAGTTTCTGAGCACTATTGAATGGTGTATTTGGAAATCCTAAATGACTGTTACTACAAAGTTTGTAACATCAGGAGAATCTCTGGGTGAACCTAAAACACTGGACAATGGACATTTAACTACCTTAGTTGGGGAAACGGGAATATGAATTTATCACCAGGGGCTGAGGGGTATATGCCTCCTCCAAGGCCAAATCATAAAGAAGATATTCAAAGAAAATCTGGGAGGAAGCAATGAAGAACTTTGTCCAGTTTTTCCTAGTGGCTTCATTTTAGGTAAGGAAGAGCTTGGCATAGGGCCTTCAAGGTATTGATGGAAATAACTATCCCTATGGAAATAATGATTAATGCAGTTTATTTCTAAGCATGAATATGAGGGACCAGACCTGAAGAAAGGCAAATTTATTTTTCTTGGGGTGATCAGATACAGAGGTTCCTTTTATTTGGTTTTCAGAGTGAGAGACAAGGTTTGGAATTTGGTGAAGAGATTTCCATTGGTCTGGCCAAAAAAGGCGGGATATCTGGAAGCTGGGGGTAGGGGCTTGTAGGTTATAGATGGGTTTTACAGTTTTTAGGTGGGAGATTGGGGAAAAAGTTCTGTGTTTTGGGAAGGGATTGGCAAAAGAATAAACTTTAACAGAGATAAAGAGGCTTAATATAGTCACAAAGACACTAAGCCAGGGATAGGAGGTAGGAGTCCTGTTATAAACACCAAAATCATCTGTTAATGTTTGTGGGAATGACTCCCCCAGTCCTCTGGAAGGATTTTGGAAAATAGGAAAAAGCAGTCAAACTTCTGTCATCAAAGGACAGGAATAAAGAGGAAGACAGCAGAAGGGTGGG